CGAGGTAGGTCAAGCTAGGTCAGTGACACTGGTCTTACATTCTTCTCTGCCCCACCTGCTACATGCACACACACACACACACACACACACACACACACACACAGACGAATCGACCCCTGCAACCACAGCCAGGTGAGTACACACACATCTCTGTGTCCCAGAGATGGGACACAGAAACAAGGGTCACAACAGGAAGGTGAAGACTAAAATGAGTCAGAGGGATGTTAGGAAGTAATTCTTCAGTCATAGAGTTGTCAGGAAGTGGAATAGTCTGGAAAGTGACACAGTGGAGGCAGGAACCATACATAGTTTTAAGACGAGGTTTGATAAAGCTCATGGAGCAGGGAGAGAGAGAGGGGATATAGTAGCGATCAGTGAAGGGGCGGGGCCAGGAGCTATGAATCGACCCCTGCAACCGCAAATAGGGGAGTACATGTCTTGCTTCACTAAGCTACTGAAGTTCTATGACAGAATAATAAGATGGACGGATCGACTACACACACTTTGAGTGAAGGGAAGTATTTCACACTACCTCACCACAGATTGAGCTGGACACACCTAAAGTCAGTACCCGACCAGCCGGGATGTGGTTCGTCCGATGGACTACGTTCGGCTAGCAGTAACAACCTGGTTGATCAGGCCAAGATCCACCGCGAGGCTTCGTCAAGGACTGGGCCGCGGGGGCGTTGATCCCCCGGAAAACCGTCCAGGTAGACAAATCAGAGAGGCAAGCAGGGATACAAAGTAAAGTACTATAGTAGATGAAGGTAAAGGTAGACGTTCAGGATGGGAAAATGTAACAAGTGGAGTGCCCCAACTATCAGTACTAAGACTATTATTATTGCTAAGAAAGGTAAATGACCTGCCTGAGGGGAGTGAATATATGTTATTGTTTGCTGATGACGTAAAACTGATGAAAATATAAGGATAGAACAGGATACAGGAAGACTTGGACAGACTGGAGATAAGTGGTCAAACAAGTGATTATTGGAGTTGTACGCAGTAAGTGCAAGGTCATGGACATTGGGGACGGAGAGAGGCGACCAGAACACAACTTGAGAACCAAGAACTTACAACTGTCGCTCAGCCAGAAGGAACTTGTGGAGGGAACATCAGCCCAACATATCGTCAGAGGTGCACATAAATCTCATACCATCTGCAGTACATGGGAAGTTAGCTAATCTTAGAACCGTCTTCAGAAGTCTAGGCCTGGCATAGAGCATGCAGCACCAGCATGGAGCCCCACCTGGTCAATCATGTATTAAAACTAAAAAAAAAAGTCCAGAGATTTGCAAGAAGACTAGTCCCAGATGTGAGAGGACTGAGTTATGAGGGACTAGAACTGAGCTTGATGAATTAGAAAACAAACTGACTAAAAGAAGATATGATTACAACATACTCAAGAGTATTTGAAGAGCAACTGTGGGACGAGAGTTTGAAATGCGAGGCATAAGGGCGAGGGTCATCTATGACAGGGATGTTAGGAAGTGGCAGTGGTAAAGTTAATACACAGTTTCACGAGTATGTATGTGAGTCCACGTGGCCTGCAACTAAAACTGCAGGCGATAGTAGTTTAAGAAGCGGGGCCAGGAGCTGAGATTCGGCCTCCCCAAAGACAACTCGATGAGTGTACAGTACACACACACACACACACACACACACAACACAAGTATTGCGTTCACTGATGATAACCATATATAAGTTGGTTCATATAGTGCCAACATTGAGTCACTGAATATGTGAGAAGCAACACATACACTCAGCCAGCATACAAAGATGATACAATACCCACCTTGACACCTTTTTGACAACTTTCTTGAACCTTTGCAGCCTTGAGGACCTTCTTAAACCTTCCATTAAGCCTTAAGAGGCACGGAACTTCCCCCGTCTATTAATAATATGTTCATTTTTCCACTATAATCTACCTTGTCCATAATTATTATCACATTTGCTTTGTCTGTTTCATAAGGTGAAGTCCAGGATCTTTCCTTAATTCATGGTATAACTTAAATCTTTGAGGACATTAGTTTCGGGTTTCGACAACACATTTCCCCTCTGGATCAAGAATCATGCTTGAGTGCGGTATTATGCCAAATGCGCATCTGTGTGCAAACCCCATTAATATTTGTCAGCTGCAGGTCGAGTAGGTGATGCACACATCACACGGTGCAGTATCACACACGTGAGGCAGTAACCTTGAAACAGTGCTTCCAGCATTTAGTGTTCGAGTTGCGGTCCTAGGATGTCAGTGGTCATCGTAGGTGATAGAGTCAGTGAGGACACAAGAGTATAACAAGATTTCCAGAGTCTGAAATGTGTGATAAAGTCAAGAAAATTTACAATTTGAATGTGGGTGTTTTTACACACAGGCTCGGGTCCACGAGCTATGATTTGCCCCCTGCAACCACAAATAGGTGAGTGCAAACACACACACACACACACACAAAACAGGCCAAATTTTTATCGACAGGTGCTTTTAACAACTAGCAACTACTATCACAGTGACAAAGGATATATCAGAACTGAAGCTGTTACACAGCCACATCAAGAAGAATAGGACTATGAAAGACTCAATAATAAGGTTAAGTATGGAAGAGAAATTACTAAAAGTAACAAGGAAGGTGAGAAGCTGAAGAACAACTTCAAAGAGAAGGTGAAGGACAGAAAGTACTGAGTGAACGGCGGTCATCAACAACAATGGACCTGATAAGAGATCTTGTTATGTTTTAAAAGGTGCACAAGCAACTATGTGCATCACTAACGCTTTCAGCAGCTCACTGCAAATGTGGCAACCACCAGGTTGCTGGTGAGAGGCTTTTGATCTAGGGAATTGGATCTGTACTCTAATTCCCTAAATTAAACCTAAATGCCATCCACATCCCCCCTCCTTACATGATCTGTATAATCCTTACGGGTTTAGTGCTACCCTATGATAATAATACTACTAATAATACAATGTTAAGTAAAGGGACCAACAATAAGTGTTAATCAGTAGAGGTGTGTGTTTGACGTGTATAATGTTCAGTCACGCAGAATCAGGTGAAAAGTGTTGCACCTGCATGATGAAATCTGATCGGTACTGACTTGGAGAGGGAAACTGTAGTCTTGTGAGTCAACACCAGCTTTACCAGAGGATGACAAATCAAACTAGAAAGAGGTGGCTGGGTGAGCTGCATATACTTGTATTGTAGGAAAACATTTGATATTTTACCACACCAAAGATTGATAAACAAAACAAATAACAGGGAGAGAAAACGGGAAAAATACCACAGTGGAGAGTGTCAGGGAGGATACATGTATCATACTGGGCAGTGGCGACAACCCACTGCCCATCTGCAGTTAATATTTGCAGATGATATTAAACTAATGTGAAGAATAAAATCTGAGACGACACTGAAAGAAAATTCTGCAAGAGGACTTGAACGAACTACACGGATGGTAGTAACATTAATGGCCACTCAGTCAGTCCCATTATATACAAAGTTATGAATATTAAGAAAGGCAAAAGAAGAACAGTAACGGAATATAGACTGGTGTGACAGAAGCTGCAAACCTCGACCAAGGAGAAGGACCTCGAGGTAAAGTAATCACCGAACCTATCTTCGAAGTTATATATCAACAGATCAAAATGGGCAACATATACGTGCCTGGCAAACTTTGCAACAACTTTCAGGAACCTTAACAAAGAAACATTAAGGGCCTTATACAAGATACAGCTCAGACCTTTCATAGATTGCAGCAGTCGTAGGTGGTGTCACATTTGTCCAGTGTGGAAGTAGGTCGTGCCCAAGGGTTAGGCAAGCGAAGAATTCCCAAGTATTAAGATCCCAAGAAGTTGCAGTGTCTGACAGGATAGTAGATGAATGGTTCACAGAACCGACACGTTGATTAATTAGACACATGTGCAACTCTTGGGTATCTTTACCGAGGAAACGTTTCGCCACACATCGACTCAAGGTTGACGGACTGGTTATCTCATTCTCCTGTTCTTCATGTTTCTCCTTTGTATGGACTGATGAAGCCACTGTGTGGCGAAACGTTTCCTCAGTCAAGATACCCAAGAGTTGCACATGTGTCTAATTAATCAACGTGCCGATTCTGTGAACCATTCATCTACAATCCTGCCAGACACTGCAACTTCTTGGGATCTTAATACTTGGGAATTCTTCGCTTGCCTAACCCTTGGGCACGACCTACTTCCACACTGGACAAATGTGACACCACCTACGACTGCTGCACCTCTCCTGCTTGCGGTATATAAGCTACTTTCATATATTACGTAGCATCTACTTGTAGGCTGCACCTCATCCAACATATAAACAAACTGGAGAAAGTACAGAGATTTTCAACAAAGTTGATCCTTCAGCTGAGAGATCTGACCAACGAGACGAGGTTAAAGGAACTGAACCTGATGACCGTAAAGAAATAAAAATGAGAGGAGACAGGGTAACAGCATACAAGATACTCAGAGGGCTTAATAGTACAGTGACACTTTGAAAATTGGGGATTGGAGACGAGAGAGCACATCTAGAAATTAAAGACGCAAATGAGTCACAGGGATATTAGGAAATACTTCTTCAGCATCTGCAGGCGTAAAAACACCTGCAGCATCCAGGAGATACGCCTGCAACAGCAGGAAGACACACCTGCATTAGCAGGCAGACACACATGATCATATGAACCAACACCTGCAGCAGCCACTGTGTTCACTGTTATTACAGCCTCGACGCTGGCAGCAGCAGCAGTTTTTGCAACTCTGATTAACTCTTCAATGGCAGACGTGTCTTCCATGTCCCCACCTTTACTATGTATATTTGTGGTGGCCAGGCTTAGTACATTATTATTATTATTATTATTATTATTATTATTATTATTATTATTATAGTTCTGGGGAGACTTTAAACCCCCTCCTCACAGGGGTCATGCCGCGCCTGGGGTATTGTGAACCATGAGGTATGTTGTGAGGAAGGGAACGTTAGCTAAGTAGCTCATATTCCTGGGATCAAAAGCTCTTCAACAGCATGAAGGTAGACTGCATGAAGGGTAGAGCTGGTAGAGTGAACATCAAAGTGATGTGGTGGTTATGGCATGATGATGGCGGAGTGCAACAAAACTGAGGCGGGTGAGCAAGACAGGGTCAGTAGTGCCCGGGTTGTGGTGGCCGCCATTACTGCTGTCCCACCTTCACTAAGCTAGCATATAATTTAGTGCTCGATGCTTCTCTCGAGAATTGTCAGTGCGTTCATTAAACTCTTGCGTGTAACCTTTTGTTGAGTCTTCAGCTGTAGAATGTACAGTGAATAACTTTGTGAATAGCTGCTAGTGAATGGTTTACTCATACTGTGTTGTGACTTTTAATCTCTAAGACTGTCCTATGTATTGACGTCTGTAGTGCTGCAGTAAGACTTGGCTAGTGATAAAGGAGCCTTCATAAGAATAGTGAGGACTCATTCAACATAGGAGTCCTCCTCATAGTCGCGTGTACAGTAATATCTGTAAAGACATCACCGCCCCAGTGACACTCACCCTGGATTCTTTCCTAATATTGTGAACTCTGTTATTTAACATACGTGTCAAGAGTAAATATGGCAGCGTGGAGATAGTGAACAAGAACACACTCGAGTGAGTGACTCGTGCTTAAACACACTGGAGTGAGTGACCAGACCCTCACACTCACTGGAGTGAGTGACCTGACCCCTCACACTCACTGTAGTGAGTGACCTGACCCCTCACACTCACTGGAGTGAGTGACCTGACCCCTCACACTCACTGTAGTGACTTGTGTCCCTCACACACACTCAACAAACACTAGGTAAGCATTTTCTCCCGTGGTTGGTGAGGTGGAGATTCAGCAGCAGGTGTGGGTCAGTAGGCTACGCTTCTCGCTTACATTCATTTCTTCCATGTTTACACACTTAAATGCCTATATATTTTAATTGTGTCCTAAAATGTATCTGTATTCCAACAGCGTCATTTCTATACCTCTGAATGTCACTGTAACGCTGTTACAAGTGTTGTTGGTGAAGGTTTGTAATCACCTCTCCCCTTGCACTGTATTATAACGGGGTTACGTCCGGATTAACCGATCATCCGTAATAACGTTTCCCAACATCACAGAGATTATCATAACATAAAAATGGGCACTGCAGGAGGACTACTGACCTGTACTTGGCAAGCCCTACTCGCATGTCATCACTCACAATCCTCGTGTGCCTCCATCTTACTCTTAAAATTTCCTAAACAATATATTTTAATGATACTATTTGACAGTTAGTTCTGCTCATGTGCAACACTGTTACCAAGCCACTGCAGTCTTGTGAAGTGAAGAATATTGTATTTAGGGAAGGGAACATTTTGCCAACTAGTGAGTTGACTTGCTTCCTGTAAGGACGTGCTGAGTTGAATCTCAGTTCTGATGCAAGTGTCAAGTGTTTTGGATTACGGACACTGTAGCTGCAGCTGTTGGCAAAACTGGAATAAGAAAGGAAGGAGATATATTAATGAAAATAAGATACCAGACATTAAGTAAAATCCTAATATTGATTGAAATAGATAAGTCAGTTGTACATATAAATTCAGCACAAAGGCGTGGCGTTGTTCCTAGACCTTTTGCGCTGCATGGAAATAGAGGTGTACGATAAACTAACCGCTTCAGCGGCAAAAATCTACAAAAAAAAAATAATCGGAGGGGAGAACAAGAAGATTCACCGCCAGAACAAGGAAGACGATACCAGAGCAATGGATGGAAGCAGAGGTCTGCGAGAAAAGAGCAAAGATGAAGAGATTACATTTGCTGGACAAATGTGGTTCGGCCATTGACAGTGGTGCAATAAAAGCCACTAGTGAATTGAAGAATATTTTTTTTAAAAGGTGATTTTTCGGATTAGCTTTATGGACGGGGCTTCTTTTAGCAAGGATATGAAGAGGCAGAAGGTGTGTTTTTCTGGGGCTGGGTTGGAAGACGTAAACAACAGATCAGGAAACGTCATAACTAGTAATGTAAGCAACTTTGTTATCTGCCTCAGCACTGAAGAAATAAAGTTGGGAAGCGTAGGAAAGAGGACATGCTTACTAGATGTAAGATGTACATGAACGGTATACAATACCGACAAGTTGAAAAAATAGACACATGTGCAACATCTGGGTATCTTTATTGTAGACGTTTCGCCAACTAGTGGCTTTATCAATACAAATTCTAGAACATATAGTTCTATTGTCTTCTAATCATGTCCTAGAATTTGTATTGATAAAGCCACTGGTTGGCGAAACGTCTACAATAAAGATACCCAGATGTTGCAGATGTAAGATAGGGATAGATATAATTATAACAAAGGGCAGGATCTGTGTCATATATAACATTTGTCATGAAAGTGTTGGCAGTAAAGGGTTGTCCAGAGTAACTGGTGTTAATTGTTTGCAGGACAAGTACTATTAGGATATTGCAGGGCCACCTACTGATAACTGAGACCACTTCTGTGTTAGAAATGACATTTATGCCAAGAATGAAGTGCTTTTATCTTGGGCAGGGATAGCAGTATTAGCTAGTTCAGTCAAGGAGATTCTTGCTGCAGTCTTTCAACCCTTAACTCGAAAAAAGTTGAGAAGTACTGGTATTTTTAGGTAAGGAATTGTGGTATTATAGATTTAAGCAGTAACAAGTGTCAAGATCGTGATACTATGGATTGTAGAAATAACATTTATCAAAAGAATAAAGGAAAATTGTCATTTAATATCAAGGCGATTATAAAGAAAGTCATTGAGAGACATTAAGTAGTGATAACAACATAAATATAAGATACTCAATTTTCATAGCACATATTAAAAAACTAGATGAATGAGACACTTGTGCAACATTTGGGTATATTGTGTAAATTTGTCTGATTCATCAACTTGTCGGTTTTCTAGTCTATTTATATACTACGAAAGTAATCGTCATATTGGAAAAGAGATTTATGCAAAAGGTGGGATTGGTTGAATGTGCAGGAAACGTCAATGTTGTCGTAACAACTGAAACATATGGTTTAATTAAAGGAGTCGGGAGGTGCCTGCCAAGTGCCACATTTAAGAGTCTAAGTTGTTTTATGCTGATAGAAATAACGGGAGGGGGAAGGGAATGCTGTATATGACGTGGGTTCTGGACTCCTGCATAACAACACATGTACAGCCTGATGAAACATGTATATATAGCTTCAAGAAACAGATGTGAAGGATGAACAAATAGATATGTAGGCTGAAGAAACAAATATAGAACATGAAAAGTTAATTTTTGGTGTGTTATACCGACCATCATTTTTGTGCCATCAATTAGGGTTTGAAAAATAAATGAAAATAAAGCAATTTTTATAATTGGACTCGTCACACAACCAGCCAAGATAAATTACATTGGGACAGAATCGTTCAGTCTTCAAGGTACAATAAGGTGGTGGTCTTTTGAGATTTTAGGTTCATCTCAGTTGACTGGAAGTTTAATTGCTTGCTTGGAGCCCAGCGACCTGCAACACGTTATGGAAGCTCGCTTTTTAACCAGTTTATAACCTAACCAGCTAGAGGAAACAACTTGGTTGAAGTATTTCTAACAAAAGAAGAACCTCGTTAATGATGTGCAGGTCGCTAACAACCTTGACACGGATGGTTATACATCTCAAGTCTTACCATTACATACAAGTGCCATAATAAGGAGACTTCAGTAACAGTCACAGATTTCCACTGGGCAAGATGCAGTGGATTTATGGAACACTTGGCTCACCTACAGTGGGATGACTTCACCAATGGTTATTACTTATATAATGAAGATCTTGCTTGGAAATCAGTCACTGACTTTTTTGGGGTAATCCTGGTGGGTAATTAATATTATGTATGATAATTGTACTTATGTGTACCTGTGTCTAAATAAACTTACTAACGTCACACGTCTAACGTTTATAGCTAAAGTAAGATATTAACGTTTAGAAGACTGAGTCGATGCAACCATGTTTGAGGAGCAAGGTGCTTTGATGATGAAGGGCTTTCCTTATATCAAACTTCACTACTTCCTAACATACATCTCCAAGAGCTGTATGATTCCCGGGTTTAGCGCTTCACTTCGAATATGATATATATATTCAGAATCCTCACATTGTTAGAATCGGACATACCAAGGTAAGTCATAGCTAGTGCCACGTAGACTAGCCGAAACTACTCTTATCTCAAGCTAGAGGCAGTGGCTAGGATACTAGACAATTGTTCAACCTCGACCGCAGGTTGTGGTAAGTGGTTCAGTGCTTGTAGAAATAATCAGTTCTTTGTCTTTTGATGTGAACTTAAACAGGCTAGATTACATTTACGATTGATTACGTCAGGTTAGCTAATAAACAGCATAAATACTGTGTGTGTGTGTGTACTCACCTAGTTGAGGTTGCGGGGGTCGAGTCCGAGCTCCTGGCCCCGGTGTGTGTGTGTGTGTGTGTGTGTGTGTGTGTGTGTGTGTGTGTGTGTGTGTGTAGCTAGAGTGCGTGTCTGTCTTACTGAGTAGTGGCTTGCATAACGGAGTACCCAAGAGTGCTTCTCTGCATGCACTTCGTACATCCTCCATGTTGTCTAGTCTACCCTCCTTATTACCTGCCGTGCTGGAGCCTTCCTGCCGTACAGGAGCCTTCCTTCCTGCCGTACCGGAGCCTTTCTGCCTGCCGTACCGGAGCGTTCCTTCCTGCCGTACAGGAGCCTTCCTGCCATACAGGAGCCTTCCTTCCTGCCGTACAGGAGCCTTCCTTCCTGCCGTACCGGAGCCTTTCTGCCTGCCGTACCGGAGCCTTCCTGCCGTACAGGAGCCTTTCTGCCGTACAGGAGCCTTCCTGCCGTACAGGAGCCTTCCTTCCTGCCGTACTGGAGCCTTTCTGCCTGCCGTACTGGAGTCTTCCTTCCTGCCGTACCGGAGCCTTTCTACCTGCCGTACTGGAGTCTTCCTTCCTGCCGTGCTGGAGCCTTCTTGCCTGCCATACAGGAGCATTCCTGCCGTACAGGAGCCTTCCTTCCTGCAGTACAGGAGCCTTCCTTCCTGCCGTACTGGAGCCTTCTTGCCTGCCGTGCTGGAGCCTTCCTGGCTGCCGTACTGGAGCCTTCTTGCCTGCCATACTGGAGCCTTTCTGCCTGCCGTACTGGAGCCTTCCTGCCTGCCGTACTGGAGCCTTCTTGCCTGCCGTGCTGGAGCCTTCTTGCCTGCCGTGCTGGAGCCTTCTTGCCTGCCGTGCTGGAGCCTTCTTGCCTGCCGTGCTGGAGCCTTCTTGTCTGCCGTACTGGAGCCTTCTTGCCTGCCGTGCTGGAGCCTTCTTGCCTGCCGTACTGGAACGTTCTTGCCTGCCGTGCTGGAGCCTTCTTGCCTGCCGTGCTGGAGCCTTCTTCCCTGCCGTGCTGGAGCCTTCTTGCCTGCCGTACTGGAGCTTTCCTGCCTGCCGTACTGGAGCCTTCCTGCATGCCGTACTGGAGCCTTCCTGCCTGCCGTACTGGAGCCTTCCTGCCTGCCGTACTGGAGCCTTCCTGCCTGCCGTACTGGAGCCTTCCTGCCTGCCGTACTGTAGCCTTCCTGCCTGCCGTACTGGAGCCTTCCTGCCTGCCGTACTGGAGCCTTCCTGCCTGCCGTACTGTAGCCTTCCTGCCTGCCGTACTGTAGCCTTCCTGCCTGCCGTACTATAGCCTTCCTGCCTGCCGTACTGTAGCCTTCCTGCCTGCCGTACTGTAGAATTCCTGCCTGCCGTACTGTAGCCTTCCTGCCTGCCGTACTGTAGCCTTCCTGCCTGCCGTACTGTAGCCTTCCTGCCTGCCGTACTGGAGCCTTCC